TAGCGCTTATTAATGGCGCCAGGACACGTCACTTACAGGTAGGTGTTACACAGTGAGTATATTCATAAATTATTTTGTTTCCTGGGTGGGAAAATAGTAATCAAATTTTTCTCATAGAAAGTGATCATGAGAATGTAAATTGTATTGAGCTGTCTCAGAATCGGTCTCTGTACTCCAATTTGGTTTCAGTAGTTTGGAATTGTCGGAGTCTTTTACCAGGGAGCTATATTTTTAGTTAATTAGGTGGTTTGTAGATGTATAATCATGAGAAAAATGTTAAATGTGATTGATTAACGTCCTTATATATAAACAAGAAGTTCTGGGAAAAGCTTACTTTTGTCTGCTGTTTTTAAATGATTCCAGCTGTACACAGAGCCATCGGGAACTATTAAGACATACTAATTATAATGTTATTTAGATGATTATATTATTGCAAAATTTTCCCTTTGTACGCTTCGTCCGTTATTGATAGCTGTAAAATATTATAATATTTTCGTGTCGTCCAGTGTTTAAAATATCCACTGTGCGATGAGTGAACCATACCGGATTAATATACAACCATATAAGCCTATGTGGGTCATACGTAGGCAGGTGCTTGCAACGAATTATCAGTTATTTTTGCCAAGTGTAGGTTTGACTTATAAGATGGGATTTGGATTGGATGATTGGATTTAATAACACCATTTCACACAGCTTGGAACTACAGACAATACAGCGTTATTCCCGATCTGCACACGATTGAGTTCACCGTTTCACTAGGATTCTCAATCTTCACTAGTTGTCTCCTGACAACTGATTTATCACAATCTCACTGTAATATCAAATCACACATGAAATCTTCTTGACATAGTCTGATTGCTTTCTTGCCAATTCTTCTCAATCACCTTCTACTGCCATCTCCAGAACTCGACCCAATTCTGATTCTAGCTGTATGAGATCCTCGTTATATAGCCCCTGGGCGGACCCCACGGAAAACACGGTCTCATATTTTTAAAGAGCATGTTTACAGCTCCTTTGCTTATCAATAGACGTCCTAATGTTGCGTGCGTGTGTGTTGCGGGAATGTTTAACCGACCCGTTGCCTAGCAATGGGTATACAAGTCACGTTATCATCAAGCCGAATGATAAATATAAATTCCTCGGCGTCGCTGCAGGATTATTATATTTTTCAATCTTACACAAAATTAAGTTAAGAGACATGTTCTTTCATTCTGAATACAGCAGAGTTACAGCCAGAGATGATAAATGATATACTGCAATTGCTCACTTATCTGAATTAGGTTGGCAATATTTCCTCCGCACTAGACACTCATGTTATGGTTAAATTAGCACGATTCTGCCGTCAGAGCCGCGTTTATGTTAACGGAAAGTATTACGGAAAGGTGGGATTGTCATTAAATTTTTTTGCATTTTTCTTCATAAGCCACACGCCCAGTAGGATTTTATAAAAACAAGGCAAATTTGGATTTCATGTTCTCACAGCGGTGGCTACGAAGAATTCTGTTTTCTGGGATATAACGCCGTCTAATCTGGTGAAAGTCAACCGACGTTTCAGAGGAATATTTCTGGACACAAAAAATGAGACAAACAAGAAACCAGCATGAATTTGGTTCGCCGCAGAGCTGGTTTCTAGCGTTGGTTATTCTTCGAAACTGAAGATGGGAGCGAAATATGCCTCCGAAATGTCTGTTGATTTTCAACGGACTACACCGCGTTATATCCAAGAAGACAGAAGTCTTCAAGGCGATGGTCTACGTTAAGCCCCTTACGTATACCGTGTTCTCCATTCTTTTCATTAGAAAGCTCAAATTCGAGAAGGCAATGGGCCCCATTTAGAGATTTTTGATCCAGGTAATATTTTGAGCCATCCCGTTGTGTGCCTGGGAAAGCAGTGGTTGTTCACTGGGGCACTGGGTGAAGGCCAAGACGAGCCAGTTGTATAAATCATTATGACCTCCGCAGCGAATCGTAAAGTTGGTGAAACGTTAAGGCTGTACTGCAGTGAGCATGCAAGCCTATTTCATCATCATTATCACGACCATGATCTTAACGGCTAGGCCGCGGGCCTATTATTGAGGCATCACAATTTTTTAACTGTTGGCACTCTGCTTTTTTTTTTCGAGAAAATACTAGATTTGATTCCAGGCACTGAGGCCATCCATCGTGGCTGAAATCACCCTCTCCCCTTTCAGGCTGAGTATAACGCAGAAAACGATCATTTCCGTCCTTGGAATTTCTGTCGTTCAGTGTCATTTCCCCATTGAGTCTGTGCAGTTGAGAAAGCATCTTTAAATAAACTAATCAGGTTTTCCAGTCTCCATCCTCATAGAAGAGCGAGATATTATCATCAAATTGCTCTCATTTATAAGCGTTCATACTGCGGCCATGTTGATTCTGATGTAGGTTATGGAGTCGGTAATATGATCTATTTACATATTATGTTTCATGAATATCAGTATATTTTAGCGGATTTATCTGGGGTTAATGACATACTACACTTTTAAATTAATACAGTAATCTTGTTTCGGAAAGCGTGGAAACGAAGAATTCACACAGTATTTCCCTATTAAAATTACTGCTTTGAACAAAGCCACTTCCTGCAACACTGCAGCTAGCAGACATGGCGCGACCTTAAGAAGTCGTGAAAGATAGGAAGAGTTTTTAGGTGAATAAATTTGTACAAGGTTATATAAAAAAAGAAAATAATATTTCTTAAATTACTCAACAATTCACGAGTCACGGATGTAACAGATTTTTTGTTTAATTGGATCAATAAATGCAGCATGATTCGCGTTTGTTTAGCGGCAGCATTGTTACGCTCTGCTGCCATCTAAGGTCATGGGACGGAAGACTGGAATAAAAACATAACGTCATATTTATGACAGTGCAGTTGGGATAAAATACATTACTGGCATGAGATTACATTATTGTGTTATATAATTTGTCAAGAAAGCTCGAACTTCTGGTGTTGTGGCACTAGATCTGAAATATCGAAAGTTGAAAAGCCTAAACTTCTCTTGTGTCTTGCGAGAGGGGTGGATCTGTAATTCTCACTGTAATAGAAGATTATGACCTTAATTTGCCTCCTTTCACGACAATAGTTTCACATGCAGGAATGCATAAACTGAAACTGGTATTCTAGAAAATCTTAGAAGCCAAATTTAGACCCATGAAAGGGAGGAAGAAAACTGTCCATACTATTCCTACTAACAGCCCTGAACGAGTGAACTCAGTTTTGTCGTTCTTGACGAAGTCACAAGGCAGAAATAGTGTCCGAAACTCAGATTTGTCACTCCGCAAAGAACATAATCCAGTCGGTAGTGACAGTACACTCACAGGCCCCCACATTTCCCAAGCTTCATCTGCCACAATGCTGAGTCACGGATTGTACCAAGTATTTCAGGAGAAATCCTTACAGTATCCCCTCTCCTTCACATGTTCTCATCCGGATTGAAAAATCAGCCGAACATAATAAATTTATTTTTATTTTACGTAGTGCGTGGGCCGCGACATAGCTCAAGCGGTTAGTCGCTGGCTTCCCACCGCGGCGGCCCGAGTTCGATACCGTGTCTGGTCAAGTGGGATTTGTGGTGGACAAAGTGACGCTGGGTCAGTTTATCTCCGAGTACTTCGGTTTTCCCTGCCAATCTTCATTCCACCAATTGCTCAAAAATCACCCTCACCTATCATCTGGGGCTGGTATAACAGGCCAGAAGTGGCCGCAGTACAAGGGACTTAGTCCCACCCCACTAGCAAAAAAAATATATAGTAGTGCGTCATTTCACATTAAAATGTCTACTTAATTGATCAAAGGTTGAAATACATATTTGTCTATTCCAATGGTGAACATACATTTTGAAAAGTCTCCCATACAAGTTATAAAATGTGTGTGGTTTTGAGGTTTATGTATCGCAGATAGGCCTATAAATGTATTTATTCTTTTATTGGTATTTTTCATTTTCTGGCGAGATTTTGTGCCAGTACTGAAAACTATGATTCCTGCCACAGAGACACGAATGAAAGCATTTAGAAACTGAAAATCACATAATATTCCTTGTATTTCATCATGTACTAGAGAACAAATATATCAGAAGTACGTATATTTTATATATATGTACTACCGCCTCTGTGGTCTAGTGTTCAGAGTTCCTGGCTGCACACCCAGAGGTCCGGGTTCCGATTCCCGGCGCTACCAGATTTGCTGAGAAGCAGTGGGTCTGAAACGGGGTCTACTCAGTCACGTGAGGATATTTGAGGAGCTATTTCAAGGAAATAACGGCTCCGGTCGTGTGGATTGGTTGCTCTGACCACGCGACACCCTCTATCCGCTAAAGTTGGCACTAACTTCGCCGACAAGCGGCGGTCGCTCGGTCGGTATAGTTCGCTTACGGACAAAATGATACTGAGTCAGATTTTCTTCGAGTCCTTAGCTTTCCCCTGTCAATGTCTATTCCACCAACTGTTTCGTAACCATTGATCATCCTACCATCAACGATACAGGAACCGGCATAGCGCAGTCTGTATAGCGACTGGTTACGGTCTGGACGAGCGAAGGTTCGGAGTTCGAGTCCCGGTAAGGTCAAAAATTTCCTCTTCTCCACGTCGTCCAGACCTGTTCTGGGTCACACCCAGCCTCCTATACAATGGGTACTGAGGGTAAAATGGCCGGGACGTGAAACTGACCCCTCACCTCCAACTAATGTGGAGGTCAAGGAAACGTGGATTTATACGAGTACATTCACTCCCTCGTACGTCTTCATGGCGTAAGTACTTAATTAGTGAAATACAGGAACAACTTCACCGTTTACCTTTGCCACCAATGATACATAGTCTCGTTACTGACAGCGTCGTTAAATAACAACGAGAAAAAAAGAAACGAGTCACTCTACCATTCGACGTTATACAGTATGATGTACTGAAATCGTCGTTAAATTAGCCACAGATACTGTGAATAATACTGTTATGCAGACGATCTTGTTGTGTTCACTTCCAGAACGGCCATGATACTGACTTTCGTGTGTGCGCCTGCGCTCTCCCAGCACTTCCCTGGCAACAGAGACTGCGCACTGACGCTACCCGGACCTGGGAGACCCGGTTTCAACGGTATTGAGTAAGTCATCGCTGTGTTCATTGAGTTTTAAATAGCACTTTGGTGTAAATGTTCCAAAATGTAGCTTACGAATTCAAGGACCTCAGATGACTGGTCATCATATGTACCGGCACTGGCTTTATTCAGAACACGCAGGGAATGGGTAACTTATGAAAATCACTTGCTGCTGATAAATGCATTTTATGGTTTCGACAAATTAAAAATTAATGCTCGTAAAAAAATATGAATTTATTACTGCGCTTAATTAATTAAGCACTTTGCCATGAAAACGTATGAGGGAGTGGAGGTATAGCGCCAAGATTCTTGACCTTGACACTAGATGGAAGTGAGTGGTCAGATTCACGCCCCGGCCGCTTTACCACAAAGGAAAGAGCCGACGGTACCTATTGTACAGGAGGCTGACTGGATCCATGAGCAGGTGTAGACGCTGTGGAGAAGAGAAAATCTTGCACCTGCCAAGAATCGAATCCCGGTCGTCCAGACCGTAGGCCGTCGCTATATCGACTGAAGTACTCGACTCTTTTCTTAGTGCTCATATTCCTGGTAAGTGTCGTTGTGATATGCAACTAATATAACGCATCAGGCCACAGTTATCTTAATTGGCGCTGGTGTTCCTCCGACCTCTATCCTTTGTTCGTAATGTGAATGACAGAAATTTAAACAAGTGCCAAGATGGTGGAGCACGATGTTCACATCGGTTTTCACGAAAACTGACCAGGAAACTGTATATATATATATATATATACAAAACACACGGACACAAAAGTGTATAAACGAAACACGTGTTCTTAACGCTACCAACAGCACAGCTTTTGCCCTTTCTTGTTACGTGATGAAATAATTAGTCCATATCTTCAAACATAATGTTTGAACTAAGAGAAATGTCCCGGTAAAAGGGCAAAGTGTCACAAATAATTAACATTTGGCAGGGGTTCGGAGAGCCGGTCTGGATGCATTACATATGAGGACGTGAACGAGGCGTTCTTACGGGGCCGCGAAAAGGTGGGACTCCGCAACCCGCATCGCAGCGTCACTGTCTTCAGCCTGGCGCAGTTGGGGTCCGCGTTGCAGGAAACAACGCGTCTGTTGGCAGAGAGGTGAGAAAATTCCGTTGCTTAGAATGAGCACACTGGGAATCAATCACACATAAGATTATTTTTTGATTGCTAGTGGGGTGGGACTAAATCCCTTGTACTGCGGCCACTTCTGGCCTATTGTACCAGGTGAGGGTGATTGTGGAGCAATTGGTGGAATAAAGATTGGCAGGGGAAATGCCCCCACTTTGAAGGATTAAAGACTTAAAATTATGATATAGGACTATCGTAATCCCGTGTGTTCTGTAGGGCTTAAGTGAAGAGGGAAACGTTTGGAGTTTCTTTTTCATGACTGATGACAGGGCCAGTCTGTGTGTTGCTGTAGAACTCTTTATCCAGACAATGGACAAATACCAAAGAAAGCACTTCTGTGGGGATACCAGGTGTTTCGAACCACGTAACATTACTACAGTCCAAGACGCAGTCAAAATAATGAACAGCTGTAAATGTCCCTGTAGGTTCCGCCTCTCTCGCGATGACGTGGTATTGGGTCTTCCCCGTATCAACACTTTGAGGACCCACATCGCAGATTTCTGTCCTCGATCACATCGTACCGACCGACGCTGTAAAGTGACGCGTTATCGCCGTCACGACGGCGACTGCAACAATCTCCAGCACCCCACATGGGGCTCCGCACTTCTCCCTTTCAAAAGACTCTTACCACCCGTATATGCAGATGGTGAGTTATACGTATAATGTTTTTATTTAGACTTTATTTTGGTACTTGCCACACAATGGACAGTTTCTCTGTCATCTGAAGGTGGGCAGATGGATGGCGGCTTGTCTCGCAGAGAACGAGAGAGTGAGAGAGAAATACAGCTATAATATTGCGATGTTGCGAGATACTTTCACTTCAACTTGGCATGCATTTCAGTGAAAGCCATTGTATTATTAAGCGTTTAAAGCCCAGTGGTTACCATATGTACCACCTGCTTTAACGTACTAAAATTATGCATTCTGCCCACAGAGTATATTTGTATTTTTATACATGTGTTTTGCATCCTATTGTTTATGTCAACTATGACATAATACATAACAGTATCTTTGTGTGTTTCGCATGGTCCTCACAATACACAGCGATTGTTCCCTAAAGAGCAGGCGGGTTCGAATACCTCCACCGTAGCCCTGCGAGTCGTAGGAGGTGATGGAAAAGGAATTCAGTGTCTGGGGGTACAAGTGGGCCACCCTGTTCCTAGAGGATACAAGGACTTGGTCCTCTAGGCTGCGGGAGTCTCGAATCTGAGACAGTAAAATATGATCGTGAGTCCCGTGGGACTCGGGCCTGAGAATGACTGCGCTGAAGAGGGTCAGCAGCAGTTGTAAACGACAGACTCGTCCTCTCGTCGGAGAAGGTGTCCCACATCAACAAACCCGCAACTGCCTGATAATAACAAAAATCTGGTCTTGGGCCCCAGATAGGGTTTGACACCAAGAAAGACTGGCCGACTGACAGTCGGTCGTAACATAACTTTGCCTTTCACTTCGACAGTCTGTAGAGTTAATCAGTAGGCTTTTTGCCGTCATGTCATTATCATGACTAGATTGCCTTTGGCTAACGATGCTTTCGATGTCGTAAGTCCAACATCACATACGAACCTCGACTTTCTCCACCCAGAATAGGAATCGTACTTTACCGAAAACAAATATTGGACAATATTTGCTGGATTCATAATTTATTTTTAACTTAAACACATTTTAGCTTAATTAAAAACCTTTATACAAAAACTATAAGCTTATGTACTATGATATATGTAATAGTAGTTCCTTAAAATATTTTTATTGCCTCCTGAAAATGACCACAACTGACCGAAACATGTAAAGACATTATATATATGTAAATATACGAGTATGTGTATACTGAGACACTGGACTGTGTTGTCGAATCATTAGATGATAATTAACTAGTGTGACGGACAAGAATTAATAAAATTAAATTTGCTGGATGACTAAATTTAACGCGAATAAGCGGTGACTTTGATTTGCACGGCTCATCTTGCAAATTAACGTGTACACAATGTATGACACAAACTCCGTCCTAAGTGCAACAATTTATAGTATTTCTTTTGTCTTCTTTTCTTCTACACTACATGTTTCGGCCGTAAATGGCCATCATCAAGTGTATTTCTCTCATGTAGCTGTTACACTGCATGTAGTTTAAAATTTAAAAACACCAGCTTTCTTAATTGTTCATTTCTCCGTTGTTAATAGGTCCCGATATATCAAAATCCCCTTGCTGATATTTGTCTTCATCATCAGTAATCTGTCAGACGACAGGTCCACAGTCTCTTCCAAAACAATTCCTCCACTTAATGCGATCTAGAGCTTTCTCCTTCAAATGACAGTATCCTCTTCTGTCCCCAAGGTCATCCAGCATCTTCTTACGTCTTCTTGTCACTTCTATCCGCCCCTCTATCTTTCCTTCAATAACTTCTTTTAGAAGGCAGTTTCTGCGTAAAACATGACCAATCCAATTAGCCTTCCGTTTTCTTATTTCGTGTAGGATATTCCTCTGCTCACTGACTCTAATTAACACTTCTTCATTTCTTACGTAATCGGTCCAACTGATCTTCTCCATCCTTCTCCAACACCACATTTCGAAAGTTTCCAGATGTTACTGATCTACTGCCCTAAGTGTCCATGATATTTGTCAGATATGTATAAAATCTTTGTTAATTTACATACGTCAATTTGATTTTTGAAAATACAATAAATTGTTGCACTTAGGACGGAGTTTGTGTCATACATTGTGTAGAGTGTAACAGGATGATTAATTATAATATTGTAATGTGTACACGCTATAAAATGTATCTTTATTAAGAAAAGAAGGAAGCTTTATGCAGCTTATTTTTCTATGTCATTATTTAATTGAACTTATGACTTAGTACAATCCTATTTGATGTCTCTGCTCTGTACAGTATATGTGAAACTGCGATAAAATGGACGGAACACAAAATTTTGGAGATGCGTGTAAGCCACTAGGGTGCAATTTTATACTTTTGTGTTTATATGTCGTGAAACTTTTCTATCTATTTCCTACTCTCCTTTTCTCTGATCAATGTATAGTTTACAAAATCATATCTGTAAGAGTTTGTTTTGCTTACTAGTTGCGATTCCTGCTTCAACCCCCATTGCCCTATATCTTACAGTTTCCAGAATACAATAATCCTTCGGATTCTGCATTTTTCTCGGATGGAATATACAAGAATTGCATATAGAATTTTGTTTGGGAACCTGATAAGAGTGGTCATTTGGAAAACATAGTAGGAAATGGGAAAATAACAGTACGAGAATATTTTGATTGTGAAAACTGGGTGGAAGTGCCTCAGAATCCTGTCCATTTCGGGTTCCTGGTGTCGGCGGTGTTGAACCTTCGAGTTGTCATGGTATCTCATACCTCGGTTGCAAACCTGCGCAGGTATAAGCGAGCTACGCGCGGACCGCCAAGGGTTTCCTCTGCCTAATCCTCGTGTGGTGTCAGCCCACGTTCACAGGGACGAGGGGCCACATGAGCACGCCGTGACCCTGATGTTCGCAGCTTGGGGTCAGCTAATGGACCATGATCTCACCTTCACTGCGGAGACCAAAGGTACTGTCCATGCTTGAGGACAAGTCTGCTCCAGACCATAATATTTAAACCTCAAATGACGTACCAATGATTGTCAGTATTTATATATATATATAACTATATTGGTGGCTAGTGGAAAGCCAGAAGGAAAGAGACCACAGGGAAGACCAAGGCGTAGATGGGTGGATAATATTAGAATGGATCTCAGAGAGATAGGATGGGATGGATTGGATA